CTGCAGCAGATGCTGCTTTGTTATAATCACCACGATGATGATGCTGATGTCATGCCTTTAAGATGATCACAAGATGGGAGAAAAGTGCGCTTCTAGTTAGTTTACTGTGAACTGCTAACAGGGAGGAGAAAACGGCTGACATTGCAGAAATGTCACATAAATTTGGCTGGTGAAGCAGCTCCAGGCCGGGTGACGAGGCCTATTGTGTGTGTGGATTCAGCTCGGAGCCTGGGCTGATGAAATATTACAACACCGCGGAGTTCCCCTCGCACTGTGAATACATTTCTGGGTTAAAACTGTTTTTTTAAGCGGCTGCTTCAAACAGGTTTTTACAAAATTTCGTGCTATGCTCAAATGTGGGCAGTGCAAATGTGTGAAAGTGATTGATGGGACATGTGAGAATGAGTCAGAGGAGTGTGTTTGCTGCGTTTGGTGGGTTTATTACCCTGCTGGCCTGTCAGACCACTCTGTGCTGATTGATGGTGTGCTTTGTGCTTGAGCGGGGGACACCTTGTGTGTTTGGGAGGCGAGATGCCTGTTCCAATGTGCGTGTAAGCCTTCGACTCGTCACTTAGTGTTGTTATGAGAGAGGTCAACCAGAGGTTTAGAGGTAACGGTCTGTGAGAGCAAAGTATTGACAGCTGAGCAGCCAGAACATAAAAATTGGCTGTTTAATATTGTGCCACTGAAAATAGCTCTGACCCATCGGATCGCACTCCGGCACCAGGTCATTGACCCAGTGTGTGGGGAGGGAATTGTGCACTCTTGGAGCTTATGGGCTAGTTTTGCAATTAGGTAGGGCACATTTTCTTCCAGCTCGAGGCATCTGTCATGGGGGAGTCCCATTAACCTGTTTGGGGAGCAGTTTTAGGAGGGGTGATACATGTCAAAGTAATATCCACAAGAATGAGAAGACTCTAGCCAATTGCAGCACACGAGGCAGCATGTGAGTAGTGAAATGTATTCTGGGATAGTGCCGCATCCACCAGCGCACCCAGTTTGCATATGCATTGTAAACCTACTGCAACACAAACCTGCTTTATGTGAAGAAAGCTGGACTCTTATTCATCACAACTGTTATAACCTGCACAGGGAAATGAGGTCACATTGAAATCAATGTTGCCTGAATGTCAGTGTTTCCCTGTGTAGTTTGCAGTAGTTGACAAATAACTTCTAACATAGAGGCTGTTTGCTGATACTGATGCAGAACACATAGCTGCCATCTGACTGCTCTGATACAGCATATGCACCAAAATCTTTAGTCACAAAACTAACAGATTGCGGTAAATCTGATCCATTTGGCTCGTCGTCCTCCATGAAAACATGCACTTTATTGCCAGAGAGTCCCGCTGAGTCAGAGTCAGTGCTCCATGACTACCGACCTCGTCTTGTGTCGTGTATTTTTTAATATAACATATCATTCTTATCTCTTGTTATAGAACTCGCTGTTCAACTTAACTGGAGCTGTGTGAGCTTGCACCTGACCGTTATCTCAGTGCATGCAGCACACATTTTGCACTTGTGTTTTAAAATGATGAATTAAACATACACAGATGATTTATTTTTTTTTATTTTTTATGCACAAAACTTTTCTGTAAAATTCTGCCACATGCGTTAGCTTCAGCAGCTCACCTCTGTTTGACCTCTCGTCCTCCAAACCAAAACACACTCAACCTCAGATGATCAATAAGCAGATGAAAGGTTCAAGCATGTTTTTCTGAAATTGCTGGCTAGCTTAAATGAATTCAGCTATACATGAGGCAGTTTTCATGACACCCTGAGAGTTACAGGGTAACTGTGAAATTGCACATCATATCGCCTCAAGCGCCAACCCCTCACTATGTTTGATATGTTTTGAGCCTGAAAATCATTAACTCCACCTTATGTTGAAGAGGGGATCAATGAGATCCTCCTGGAAGCCTTCTACACTCTCACAGAAGCTCAGATACCAGCAGAAATGCTTTGAGTGCTTTTATGGCTTTCATTCTTAGCACTTGGAGTAGACTTAATGTACAAAGGCAAGCCCCAGGTGAGATTAGCTCTACTAAAAAAATGCGCTCTGGGTTAAAAGTCTTTGTGTAGTTGAATTGGTTTGGCGGCGTATGCAGAGATGATACTCTTTGTAGGAAAGCTGTACTTTTCCTCAGTCCTTTTTCCGATTGAAGGTCTGTCAGAGCTACAGCTGCAGAGTCTGTCTGAGCCAGACAGAGCTAATGGGATAATGGCATATGTTACAGATGAGTCATTTAACAGTAGCTGAAGGAACTAAAACCACAGCACTGTAAGTCCCACTTATATGCAAAAGCTTCTTTTAATTTGCACAGTTCCTCTGGTTAAATACATCATATTTTATTTTTAGCACATGTTACTGTTACCAGACACTGCTGTCTGGAAGCTTAGTTGTATAAACACATATGTTCAGGGGGGAAAAGGAGTTATATTTAGAAATGTGAAATATTAGCACTTTGCACATGCCTGTGTTTTCACAGCATGAAAAATGCCTGAACTGTATATGGGAGAGATTTGGTCTTCTGTGAAACACCAAGTAGAGGTTGACAGTGCGGATAATATGCTGCTGTTTCAGGGGTCAAGGCTAGGTGAGTGTGACCGCGGGGTATTTTTCAGCTGACATGAGCAGACCAAATGCATTTGTCAAAGGCAGGAGTGTGTCATGTATCTTATTAGTTTAGCATTTGTGTTAACAGTTCTGCACATATTAAAAAAAAAAAACTATTAAGAAGTTAATAAAGAGAGTAATGAAACAGGAAAATGCCCACCAGTGTCTGCTAATAAGGGAAGGTTAAATCATTCATCACTAAAAGTGAGTGAAGTTGATTGAGAGCTCTCCTGCTAGGGTAATGTTTCTTTTTGCTTCATGATGGATGTGGGAAATAAACTTCCTGCTTTGTTTCCATCCTCAGTCTGCTAATCTGCTGATCTGCTAACTAATTTTCTCATCTGCAAATTAGTGATTTGCATCAAACACGCCAGTGCCAAAGTGCCTTAAGCTAGCATGCTTTCCAGTGATCAGGGGTAGACTGCTTTTGTTTCAAAAGAGATTTCCTATTGTAAAAGACTCCTCGGCTCGATTAATATGGCCGACCTTGTGAATGGTAAGTTGTATCCCTCTGGTTTTCCGTCAAACCCACTCTTAGTTACAGGCCTAGAGACCAGTGGGGAGTCCACTGGCAGTCACCAGTTCCCACACCCAGTTTGCGAGTGGTTGCTAACAGCTTCTGTGAAGCCGTTTGCTAAAGCTGCAGTCATGTATTTTGAAAGTAAAAGTTTTGCCTTTTTTTGCCTTCACTGCTGCCCGGCAAGTGGTTGGATAGTGTTTGCAGACTAGTTGGCAAGCAGCTGTGATATGCCAGAAAGCACAAGGAGGTATTTGGTGCTCTTTGCGTCCAATTTAACGTAGTGACAGCCTGCGTGACATAAGATGGCAATGACTAAAATCATCACCTGGCAGCTCCATAATAGTTGGTAGTTTCATGGTTTCTCTATCCATTTTTTTTATATACAGTTTTTTGAAGTTACACCGATTTTACATTGAAGTAAGTGTAAATGTCATAGCTCATTAAACTCATAAAAATGCTGTTAAACTATGAAAGTTTCATCATTCTGTTCAAGACTGATCCCCCACACCCCATTAGTCTTTTTTTCCTCTTCCATGAGTGTAACTGTATCCCCTAACAGACTGACAGGGTCCCCCCTCTTTACCCTTATAGGTGGCCTCTCTGAGCCCGTACTGACAGAAGAGTGAAAGAGGACATTGTGAATGTTCTTGTCTTTTCTCTGAGCTTTGTGTTTTATTCTGTCTTTCCCTCAACCAGTGCCACTTAATTTATCTGTCACTTTCCCTTCAAAGTCTCTCATCGCTTCCTCTTTTTCTGTCAGTGTGGGTGAGATGTGACCCCAGGGAAAACGACGTGCTGAGCAGTTATTCAGCATCTCGGAGCCTGGATATTAAAACGGCACCGATTTATGGATTTAATAAGTTTTGTCATCGCATCTTGTGCAATTGCAGAGTAGAAAAAGTGCGTGTGTGTGTGAAGTATGTGTGAGTACATTGCTGAATGGGAGTCATTGTCTATTTTTGTTTTCAGGGAGTTGAGGGGATACGATGGGTGTCAGTAAGACGGGGAGCGGGGCAGAGAAAAGTGGCGCCGGCTTTGCCCTGGTCAAGCAGACATACTTAATAAAGTCCCTAAAAACTTAATTTCCTAAAACCCCCTCACCCCAAAAGATTCCTGTCATCACCGACACAGTGGCGCATTGTGTGAGCTTTTCTCTGTGAGACTAGCCTTAATGCATTGGAGGGAAGGTTGTGCGTGCAAGTGTGTGTGACTTTGATTAATCATAGACTTGTGTATATTCATTGCGGGGAAAATGCCCTTCTTGCAATGGACCTCAGTTACTCACTGTTCTTGCCCTACGAGCCGTTGCAGTAATGAACACACACACACACACACACACACACACTGACACACTGACTAATGAGGGAGCCCAGGTCTATTCTTGGCTTTACCTTGAATAATACATTGCTAGGAGCCACATCGGCGGGTTAGAAACGCACAAACTGTAGCGACCACACACAGGCGTGGATTGAGGTTGTGGACTAAACCGAAACCACTCAACGCCTCATTACAATTCAGAGCAGAAGCACAATCTGGGATTAGGAGGTAACTATCTAACAGTACACATTTAATAAAGGTGGTACATTGTGTTACTGCAAAGGATGGCTGCTTGCAAAACCTCAAAATCTCCACACAAATATGAGCGATTCAGATATGTCCATCTACCTCACAGGAAAAAGCACCGTACAGACTGGTGTTTCTGTATTCTGTGCACACTGTTGCACTACATCCTACTGAGTTTACCTTTGGAAGAAGAGTAAAGACCTCATGCAGACTAAACATACGGCATCTTTTTCACGCCATAAATTTGCACGAAGTTGAACGTTGACTTCTTAATGTGCTCTTCTCTGTGTGTCTGTCCAGGCTCTGGATGTGGATCGCAGCGTACTGTACAAGATGAAGAAGTCTGTGAAAGCCATCTACACGTCTGGGCTAGGTGAGTCTTGACTACGCTCCATCACCATCTTCTTCGGCTGGTCCCTTTGGAGGTCACCACAGCAGATCGCCGGCCTCTTCTGCATTACTGAAAGAACAATGCTGCATGATTCAAATATTATGAACCATTTTAACATGCCAGCACTGAAGCAAAGAGTTAATTTGCAGTAAGTCTAGATGCTTATTTCTTACCTTTTGAGTCTCCTTTAGGAGGAGACTCTTTGTTGGAGTGCAGTGAGCAGAATACTTCTACGTCTTTATTTAGTAAAAAAATATTTAAGGGGTTGGTTTGCTGGAAATGCTTTTTTTCAGTTCCTTTGGTCTTTATTTTCTGTTTGATTTTAAAAGAAAGTATATCCTCTGTCTTTGAGGGGGGGAGAGAGGTTTTTGTCTTTTAAGTCCTGTGTATGTGTGTGTGTCATTATCATGCTCATTATGCCTGGCTGTGCCAGTGTTGGGTGTTTTTTAGCGTCTTTTGTTTGGCCTGCCTGACAGAACCCCGCTGAGAGGCAGAAATGGAGAGAGACCTCTGAACAATGTGCTGAGCACGTCTTTTTCAGAACAGTGTGAGCTCTGTTCAGGCCAGAGGGACAGCTGTCTGATCCAGACCCCCGGAAAGGAACAGCTGGGGAGGGGCACAGCCTGTGTTTGTATGTGGCCGCTGAGGCATGGACACACATGTTCTCACGTCACTCTTAAACATGCATTTACATTTATAACGTCCAGCACTTTTGAGTCCCATATAATCTTACATGCAGGTGTAAGTGTAGGCGTATAAGCTGCAAAATGTTGCCGTAGGCTCTTCATTTGAATCTTTTTACTGGGACGTTGCTGCATTTCAGACGGTTTTTATAAATGTTTGGAGCAGAAACATTGCTTTGTCTATAGGAATACCACAGGGAATGCTCTTATTTATGCTCGCATGAATGGAGGTCACCTTTTGTTATCAGCAATTATCAAGGAGAAGCAGCCCAGACACCAGTGTGTTTTGAGTATAACCCAGAGGATTTCAGTTTCATGTCTGTGTGATCCTCATGTGCCGAGTACATCACATTTTTAAATGGAAACACAATAATGACAGTTATTTAGTATATTTTCCAAATACAGGCTACTAAATTAAAAGCAATGCCTTATACTTAAAGTTTTATTGATCCATATTTCTATAATAACGGTACATCCACTGAGTGTTGTGACAAGGGGGGTTTAAATTACTACCTGCCAGTTCACTTCAGCTGTTAGGGCTTTTTGTTGCTTACATCTTGCTAACTCGCACTTGTTTTTATTATTAGGCGGCTGCAGACCTCCTCTGTTGTGGCTCAGTGTGCTCCCTGCCCAGCAGCTAAGTATATACAGACATTTAGCTGCTATGTGGGGAATATAGTGGAGTATGTTGCAGGTGAAGCCAGATAGTCACTTTTCTGGTTTTCTTGTTTTGATCACCACCAAATCCAAAAGGTAATTATTATATTTCTCAGGTGACCAACCCAGTAGTGTGTATTTCCTCATTCAGCACACCTGTGTCCCAAATGAAATGAGCTTTGCCAGGTTGTTGTGTTATCCCGAAGTCTGACAGACCTCGGTATCATTAAATTGAATGTTTGTCACTTCAGGGCAGCAGGCTAATGCTAAGGATTTAAAATATGAGAGATCTGCTTCCTTTGCTGCTGCAGCCATCTACAGAAAGCTTGGCTTGCTTGCTAGTGGCTGCATATTTCGTAGTTGAACCGCAAGGCAGCGCCGCCTTGTTTGGTTGACAGCATGCCAAACTAACCCGCACATCAGTGTAAGGTAAATGGGTTACATAGCGCCGTAAATAATCAATCCCTCGACTGTAGTTTAGGAGCAGTGTTCATGTGGGCGGCTTTGCCAACCTTTTTACCTGTAGAAACAAGCTACATACACTCAAAAATGATCCTATTGGCTCTTTAAAACCAGCTGAGATTAATTAGATTGTAAGTGGTTAATGACAACATGCAACTTGTATCTAAAGCCAAGCTCTAACATAAATATAGAGGGAAAAGGATCATTTGAGTTTTCTTAATGTTCTCCAAACAAGGTGTTGTGGGTAAAGTGTGAGTAATGTGACACATAACAGGGAGCCTCAGCACCTGCTATGGCTGACTGACTCTTCCAAAATTCTGCAAAGATATTTTAGGCTAAGAAATAACGTATTGTAACGATGAGGAGAAAGAGGAGCTGGGTAAGCAGAGGGAATGTTGAAGGTTTAGAGACTGTATTGAGGTCAAATCAACGATTTTTTAAAGAATTACCATCTCAGGGAAAATCTTAGAGGCTGAGTGTGCATGGTGAGTTTGTAATGTGGATAAAGAAAAAGATGGGAAAGGGAGCGAGAAAGGTGGAGTGGTTTTAAATGAGCAGGAGAACCCTGTGTTGCTGCAGAGACCTGTCAAGGTGTCAGCATGTGGGTTTTGATGAATAAACCAGCAGGAGCATCTCAGACCTCAGAAGGAGCAGGAGCTGATCGCGCAGAGCTGCTCGGACAGGCTTGTCAGAGCTGCTGAACAGAGAATAACTGGAGGGGGATGATGTACCTGTAGCCGGGAAGGACATTTAGTTGCTGAATATAATGCAGAACTCAGACCACGCTGCATCAGAGAAACACTGAAGTTGATCATGTGTCTGCAGGTAGCAGAGAAAATGAGATTCTCCATAAACTTTTAACACGATTACCTTTAAATAATGTCTGAGATAAGAAAAAGAGCTCATGTTACTTGTGTAAAACAGTTTCTTAGATTTTAGCAAATACAATTTAGAAAATATAATGTTGTCTTAGCAAGACTGAAGGTCTCAGGTGGAGTTTGCAGCTGGTTAAGCTGCTGGGTACATAATTGATATTTAATTATTTATGTTTATATATAAATATGTATATCAATGTTAAAATAAATTGTTTGCATGTGCATTGGCTTGCATAGAAATGTAGCTTTAGACAGAGTTAAGTTGGCCGAGCTAGCCCCCCCAGTTTCTGTTTTCATTCTAAGCTAACTGGATTTGTACTATAGCACATGTTCTCACTCACTGTCCTCGTTCCAGGAATTTGCAAAAAAAATATTTTAGCAAAACATCAAACTTGAACTTTAAGGAAAGTTTTCTTTCTCCTTTGATTGTCTTTCATGCCTCTGCGATTCCTTGTCTCTGTCCTGTGGGATTAATAGTCACGCTTCCTTTTCTGTGTGCTTGTGGTCATTTTGCTCAGCGTTGTTTTCATTGAGTCCTTAGAGAGATCTGGAATTGATCGGAGGTCACCGGCGCATTGTGTCGCCGAGCGTCAGCTGACCCGGACTTACGAAGCTGTGTGGGAGAGACGGAGAGAGGAAGCTGCTATCTGGTGATTAAACCCCGCATGTGTGGGAGAGAAATGGAAGAGGCTGCAAAACAAGCCTTTGGGATGTAAGATAATCCTCAGCAGACGCCTGGAAAGCTGTACATGTGTGTGTTTGTAAGTTTAGGAGGAAAGATACAGCGGTGAATGCCACAGGCGTGAGCAGGCTTCTGTTTTGCAGTAAATGCAACTTTATCATTTCCTGAGGTTGAGCAACAGGAATCCTTTTCTCTCCCTTTGACGCACAATACGCCATTTACTTTCAAGCTAACTTTTTAAGCCATTTCTCATGCTGATTTTAAATAGACAATAACATCCACTCTCAAAGTTTCACTCAAAGGAAGATGAAAGTACTGACTTCAGTTATACAAAGGAGAGGGGACCATCTATCCTTTTATTTTCCTTATCTTCATACATTACTGAGACAATATACGCTCAACAGTCAGTTTATTCAAACTGCTTGTTAATGATCTACTGCAAATAACACGAGAAAGCTTGTTTCAGAGATACCAGGAGAAGCTAAATAAAGATGACTTATTATGAACTGTGACTCATGCAAAGCTACACTAGTAGAAACTAAGATTAAAAATACGGACTATAAAAAAGCACAGCATTCCCCACATTGAGTTTTTTGCAGAGTGGTAAGGGTTTATGTCAAAGTGGGCTGAATTGTGATTATTTGCATACCTGTGCAATAGCCTGAGGAATCACTAAGAACTCGCAGTCGGCCTGACAGCTCTTCACTAATTGTAGTTCATTTAGTGTTTTCTTACTTTGTTATATTCTGAGTTTGTCTTCTCTGAGAAATTTCCCTGTAACCTCTCGTCAGAGCCTGAGTTGGCGTCTTTTAGATCTGCAACAATAAAAATCCGGTAAAATCAGCTTATGTAATGCAACAATAAATGAATCTTTTAAGCTCTAATCATATAAAATCCCAATTTCTGTTGTTGCATATCTTTAAGTGAGGCTTGGAACACCAGTGTTATTTCATGGAAATGTTTACTCAGTGTCTACACATCTGCAGGTAAACAAGGAATTAGCAGGTCGTGTTTGCAGTGTAAACTACAGGAAAATGTCTCTCCTGTCCTTTGTTGGTTTTTTCCTGCCACGTAAACTCACACGCCCTCTGCTCTGTACTACGGGGCTGCATGCACGACATGTTTGGGTCATGTTACAACAAATACACATGTAGTCACTAAGCTGCCCTGGAGGGGTTTGTGCTATTTGTCAACTTTGAGTAGGGCTCTCATGTGCCACTTCAAAAACAACAACAGGAGCCCGCCCTGTTGGCTCGAAACCTGGCTGAGCTAAACAGCTGGAGCAGATTTGGAAAGTGGGCTGTGGATGTGTGGCAGTGGTCGGTTTCTGACACATGACAGAAGTTTACTACATCTTTGTGTGGTACATCTCACTGCAGGTCTTTGTTATGTAAAAGAGGATTTGGTGCTTTTGGATTTTTATTTATTTATTTTTTTGGGTGAAGAATTGATCACTTTATCGAAACATGAGATCGTTTTTTTCCCCCCTTTATTTATTTTTGTAGGTCTTTTATTTCTGCACTTACCACAGACAGGGGGGAAAGTCTCATTATAACACATACTCGCCGGGCTTCTCATTTTGCCACTTCCCTTGTGAGTCTCACGGCAGCTTTCTTATCATCGACCTCTGTTATTGCGTCAGATGATATTTTGTGGCTTAAATTAGATTCGTCTCGTGAGCATGCCTGCAGGTAGTGACTCAGGCTTTCAGCTCTTCCCTTTTAATAACCTGATGGATATGTCAGCGGCCAAGACGTGAGCTTATCTAGTTACCTGGAACATCTGTGCAGTT